TGTTGGCAGGTTGTCTTACCAGCTGCTGCCTTCCTTTTGAGTATTCTTTCTCTCTCTCTTTCAGAGTCACCTGTTAGCTACCTGTCTTACTTGGTCTTTCTCTGTCTCTGGTCTCTCTTTTCTTGTGCTGTAGATATTAAACTCCTAATTCTCCTGCCTCAGCCTCCTGAGTGCTAAGACCAGAGGTGTGTGCCTCGTGCTTGGCCAGTTAATTTTTTTTTTGTTTCTCCCGGTTCTTTAAAAAGCCCCATTTGACTTTAGAATATAAGAACATTAGAAATTTAGGAGTCTTATCAGAGTTTCTTATCAGTGGTGAGGATATAGCTCAGTGCTGGGGCCTTGTGTAGCATGTGTGGGACACACTCAGGGTCCTGCTCAGTGCTGGGGCCTTGTGTAGCATGTGTGGGACACACTCAGGGTCCTGGGTTCAGTCTTAGCACTGAAACAATTGCATATAGCAGACCCAGCTGAAGAGCCAGCCTTTAGTCAGGTCTGTGACACATGCCCGTAGTGTTAGCACTCAGAAGGCTTCTGCAGGAAGATTCCAGTACTCAGGAGGCTGAGGCATGAGGCCAGACTGGCTCACAAGACTCACTCTGTTTTAAAAACAAAACAAAGCAAGAGCTGGGTGTGGTGGTGCACACTTGGGAGGAAGATCTTAGGCCGCCATGGTTTTTGAGATGTGTTCCAAAACCAAACCAAACTGGCCTCTTGAACTCTGGGACACCCACCTAGTTTCTGGGGTGCTGGGATTAAGGGTGTCGCTACCACACATGGCCAGTAATGATGTTTTGAAAGAAAGAGATGAAAATCCTTTGGTTATTGCCTTTTAAAATTGAAAAAAAAAAAAGACACAGAGCAGAAGGAAATAGCTGAGTTGGAGTGTCTCCACAGGTGGCCGTTAGCACGGGACCTGGGTGCTGGCTTCCAGTGCAGCAGCAGCCTGGAAAACTGTGACTGCCGTGGAAGCATTGTTAGGACTTTCGCTTTATCTGTTCTTGGTGACTTTTTACTTCTAGGGTTACCTAACAACTGGTTTTGAGAACAATATTGACAGGGGTTGGCTCCATACAAACACAAAGCAGATTCCCCAATTGACCGGCTCTCGTTACACACTGAGTGCTGATGGCTTCACCTCCTGCAAGACGTGCAGATGCGTAAATCATTCCTTCTCTCAAGGTTGCCTTTTGTTTCCAGAACACTTAACAGAGGGCAGAAGTGGTAGGCTATACCTGAGAAGAGCAAAGCATCATTAAATATAGTCAAACATCACTTAAAAGCTGCAGCCACCAAGGCCGTCTCAAACAGGAGCGTTCTTTTATGTGACCCAATTGTAAAACAAAAACAAAAGAAAAAGTAAAGAAAAAGCAATAAACAAAACTCATTGCATGTACAGAGATTGGCCTGATGTCCTTGCCAAAGTGATGAAGCCCAGGGAAGCTTGAGGCCTCTGTTGTGGGCCCCGTTGGGGCAGAGAAGGAGAACTCAACTCTAGGGTGTGCTTAGGAAAGTCTCGAGTGACGATGCTGGCAAGGTACAACACATTCCCGACACCTGTCTTCCGAGAAGCCCGAGCTGGCCAGTTCTGCAGTCAGCGGATTACGGAGAGGGGCGAGGAAGAGCTGCTTATGACCTGGGTTGCAAAACTGGGTTTTGTTTCCTGCCTGACTTAGAATATGCTCTTTGCTCTTTGGTAGATAAATGAGAAAAGATTTTGATTTCCAAGTAAATTCTGGGGTAACCAAGATGCGTGAAAGATGTTTTATCTTCTCTCCTGCAAGAACCATTTTTCTCATATTGGTGTGGTTATGACATTTTTTTTTCAGAATTGCATCAAAATGTAGATTTTCTTTTTTTCCTTTTGGTTTTTGTTTTTGCCTAATTATGTAGCTTTTGAATTAGATCCTTCTATATTCTTCTGTGTTCTTTTCACTGTGAGGTTGGGGGTTTGTGTGTGAGCCTGGGTGTTCTCTGACTCCATCGTACTGTGGTCCTGTGCACCTTCTCAGGTTTATTTTCCTCCTTCTTTGTTGCCTACTCTCTGTGCATGTCCATGCCTCCTTATTTCTTGTCTTTTGTTTTCTTCTTGTTCTACTTAAACAGGACAATCAATTTCACAGGAGGTAAAGAGTCCTTTACCTCCTTCTGTGCCACGTACTGTAGAGGGACCACTTGGCTTGGAGTTTCAGAGGTTACAGTCCAAGGTCAACCAGACCCATTGCTTTGTGCCTGAGGCTGGAAGATCAGTGACTTGGGAGCATTGGCAGAGCTGCTCACCTCAGTCAGCTAGGGAGCAGAAGGAGCAGAGGGACCAGGACAAGAAGAGCTCTCAAGAACACCAGCCCAGTGACCTGCTTCCTCCAATGAGACCCTATTTCTGAGAGTTTTGTTACCTCCACCCTCACAGTGCAGTCACGTGGTGAATCCCTCCGGCGCTCTGCGCACTGGTGAGGTTAGAGGCTCAGGAGTGAGCTGTCGCAGTGGCTGCGCCCGGCAGCCGAGGCCAAGCTTCAACATTAGGCATTTGGAGAATACCTTACCCCCAGATTGGAACAGGATTGGCTTAGGTGCAGAATCTCACATTACCTCTGTAACTGAGAACAAGGTTTCTCATCCTGAGCTTTTGTTTTTCCTCATAAAAGAGAAGAAATACCTTTCTTATAAGTGGAGTGTGGTTCAGTGACAGGCCCAGTGGTCATGGCTTTTTAACATAACTTATTATTCCCATAATGTAGCATACAGAGAGCATGTCGTATGGAAAACATCAGAGTTGGTGTCCAGAGAAATGCAAGCTTTAAGTTTTCCTTTTGTATTTGACTTTTATGCAACACTAGAGGTTTTTGGCAGGACAGTGATTGTTTTTATATGACCCCTGGACGCTCTCGAAAGCCAGTGGCCTCTGATGAGATTGTGAGAAGGGTGTGTTGATGGCTTACGGCGGTAGAGTCTGAGTAGACACAATGATTGTCTTCAGGCTGGAGACTCAGCCCAGTGAGCTGGGTGACGGGACAAGAGGGACCAGTGACTTTGCCTGAAAGCTCCCTGGCAAGTTGCTGGGAGTTCACACTGAGGCTGGGGGGTCAAGAGGCTGATGTTCATGGGCAGGGGAAGTGGGAACACCCCTGCTTAGGAAGGCTGGGGCTGCACAAACAAGCTCCCTCACCCCAAGCCTGTTCTGGGTGCTCTTCCCTGCCTTAGCTCCCCGCCCCACATGTTAGTCATCTCTGGGAATATCTTCACAGACATCCAGGAATCTGCTTATCAATTTCCTGAGTATTTAAAAAGTCAACCCAGTCCGTTTTTCAGCTAGGATTAGCCATCAGTCTTGAATAGTGGGAGTCTTTCTTTCTATGCCAAAGCCCAGTGAAAATTTTTGCTCCATCAGAGCCATTATTTTTTACTCAATTAAAATCTGTCTAAAGTCACATTTGTGAGCAGCACTAGAGAGCAGCATCATTGAGAGCTGTGCAGGAGATCCGCAGCTTTATCTTTGTGTTCTGGTCCATAGGCGCTGCAAGAGCCAGTCTTCGTCTGTGGCTGCTGTGTGTCAGTCACCGTGGCCCTAGAAGGGTACATTCTGAAGCCTCCCGTATCTCTTCCGTGCTTCAGTTTCCATGGAAGTGGCCCACCATCAGCAGCAGGGGTCCATTTCAGCACGGCTTTCAGTCCTTGTTTCTCTGTTACTATGGAGACTGCCTCGAAAGTGACAGAAAAGCCAAAAGTTAAAAAACAACAGCAACAAAAAGCCAGTGATTCATTAACAAAATATGATCAGAACTGTATGTGTTCATAGCCGTGTATTCCATAACTCAGCGTGACTCTTAAGCAAGCGTGCGAGACACGCTTCGGACTTCACATAGAAGCCAAGTTTGCAGTTTAACAAATGGGGTGGAGCCCCGGGCGAAGCAAAATGCTAAACAGAGGTTTAAGTGAGCGCTTGCTGAAGGTTACCTAGAATGTAAGGGACGAATGGGTGGTGGGCATCACAGTCCAAAGCAGTGAACCCAGCTGCGGCCTGGTGCGCAGGACTAGAGAGCAGCATCATTGTGGGCGGCACCATGTCCAAAGCACGTGGGTTATTATGTGCGTTTTTTTTTTTTTTTTTTTTTTGTGTATATGATTTGTGTGTGCGCACCCGTGTGTGCGTGTATCTGGCACTGAAGGAACATTGTGGAAAAGGGGGCACAATGATTGAGCCAGAGGACCAGGAATTCTACTGTGAGAAAATGTCTTCTATATCGGACAGGGAAGTTAGCTGCACCTATGAAATCTCAATGATGTGGTCACCTAAACAAGATCTGCACAGTGACCGCATGGCTGTCCTTCCAGCGTGGGTGAGGGGACCACCACGATGACTGCTGAGAGAGGGAGATCAGCCTTCCCCAGGGACGGCCCCAGTCAGCCTGAAACACACGCACATACAAGCGTTAGGTCTCACTTGTCCGTCTCTGAATGTCACACGTCAGCCCGCTCTGGAGAAGAAGCAGCCCATGTCCCGCTCTCCTGTGGAAGAAGAGCAGCAACTCATTGCTAATGAAACAGCCCTGCAGCCTACACAACTCCGTGTAGTTTAGTTCAGAATTACCCGGAGTGGTTTTATTCTTGGATGAGGCTGGATGTTTGTGTGTTCTGCGGTCTGTCAGTCCCACGTCACTGCTCACTGACCAGGCATTATGTTCGCTCCTAGTTTTGAGTTGGAAATTCAGTGCTGCCTGAACTGGGGCTCCTCTCACCCTCAGAACTTTCTACACAGTTTCATGTATACCTGGCTCTCCCTAACGTACCGAGTTTCAGTGCGCATTCAGATAGTAGCCTGTCAGCTCAGGGCAAATGAAACCCTTGAGGCGTAAGGTTGAAACCATTTCCAAGTTTGACTCCCAACAGTTACAGATGTGAAGAAGCAGTGGTTTGGGTAAAAAGAAGTAAATTGCTAGATGGGGCAAAAAAAAAAAATGCCTGTTTCCCTCTTCCAAGGCCAGACCTGTGCTTTGTCCATTCAGGAGAGTCGAGCCCCACGCGCCGGGAGGCTGTGAAGAGAAGGACAGCAGAGTACCTCATGCGTGCAGAGAGCATCTCCAGCCTCCGCGCCACACCTCAGCTGGATGCTGGACTGCAGGTATGCCAGGCTTCTCTTCTCTTTATGTTCCTTAGTCTCCCTCCCTCCCTCCCTCCCTCCCTCCCTCCCTCCGTCCCCCCTCTCCTTCCTTCCTCCCTCCCTCCTTTCTTTCTTTCTTTCTTTCTTTCTTTCTTTCTTTCTTTCAGCTTTATTTTTAACTTGAATATCGAGCATTTTGGTCTTTAGATTTTTTTCTGTAATTTTCTTAACTTGTCAGAAAGGAAGCCACAAGGTAGAGTAAGAAGGCCTCCCCCTGCCCCCCTCCCCCAATACCTGTCTCTGCCTGGGTGGATAAGGATAAGAATTTAAGGAAGACTGATTCTGGCTCATGGTATGAGCAGCTTGTTCTCTACGTGGTCATGGTGGGAGGCATGGAGCTCAGAGCCTGCTCACATCTAGGTGGAGCAGGAAGCAGAGGGGTGAGTGTGGCCTCTGCAGGCTTGCTTGTTTTCTTCTTCTTCTTCCATTCTGGACCTGAGCCCATGGTGTGGTGCCATTCACACTCAGGGCAGACCTTCCTTCCTCAGTCACAGAGATGCCCAGAGGTGACAGTGCGGATGAAACCATCACACTTGTGTCGTCCTGATCTCACCATCATGAGACGCCGTGGCTTACTGTCCACCGCCCTGCTCTGGGGCCTCTGAAGCCACAGTTCTCTGCACGCCTGTGCAGCTTATCAGTGATGTGGAAACTATTGTGGGGAGAGTCGTGTAAGGATTTGCTGGAGGCCGCCTGGAGCTGCCGAGGCACAGTGGTGTAGGGATGTTGTAGTCTGTTTAGGACCACCTCAGCCCTGTCTGCATGGTGTAAGGCTCTAGAAACATTGTTGCTTTGGGCCTTTATGTCAGGTCTGTCTGCCTTTGACCAGTTTCCAGAAGTAACTTTTTTTGTTTTAATTTTTTACTAAGATTTTCTGTAAATGAGTGTTTATTTCCTTAATTGATCCAAAAAGCAGGTAGTCTTGGTATGTTCTGTGACTTGCAGTCATGAAAGAGACAACAAAATTCTTTAAAAATTGTGGTTTTTAGTATGTGTGTGTGCGTGTGTGTGTATGTGTGAGTGTGTGTGTGTGTGTGTGTGTATGTGTGCGTGTGAACCCATATAGTGGGACTAGGTTTTCCCTGTGTTGGTCCTAGGGATTAAATCCAGGTTGTAAACTTGGTAGCATGTCCTTCACCCGCTGAGCCATCTTGCTGGTCCTGCATATGGTTGGCATAGACACTTCCCTGTGTCTGCTTCTGAATCTGGAAATGGGGGTTGCTCACGCTCCTTTGCTGGGCAGTTGCTGTGGCTGTTCCTGATTGTGGGTGCAGAGCTTTTGTTCCCCCCAGAGCAAATGTCTTCCTTCTTCATTTTGTTTTGGGGACACTGATGAAAGCATCTGTCCTATGGCTTCTGTCCTTCCTGTGCATCCCTGATCAGTATCCTACCAACTATCCATGGAGTCTTTTTGTAAGATTTATTACCAAAATTATTACTTTATTAGCCCATACTGACTCTAATGGTTTATAACATTCTGTACATGCATATAACACATGTGGAGTCATAACAATTAAACACAAGGCCTCCTGTGTAGCTCTTGATTTGGAGAATCAACCACTCTGTTGGATGAGTCAGAATCTCACTTTTAGCATAACTTGTAATGGAAATAAGCTGAGGTCTGAGGAGGAGAGCTGACTACACCAGGCTGCCCATTCATTCAGCGTCTTTTAAGACTTAATGTGTAGCATCCCTGCAGACACACGTGGGAGCGTCACAGAGCATGACACAGCTGCTCTTCGTGCAAACCTTACAGCTGGACTGAAGCCAGCTGTGCAGCTCAGGAGGCAAAGCTCTGAGAGTGTCCAGAGCTGACAGTGGTGGGAATTGTCCCTAGGGCCGAAAGGTTTGACTGCCGGCTCTGATCTGATGGGGAGTTACTGTTTGTTTCTGCATGAGGGCAACTGGAGGGGAGCGTAGACATGCTATCTTTCTTCATGCTAAACATTTGCTTTTCATTTCCCGCTTGTGTGTTTTTTGTGAATCCCGTCTGCACACTGCTCAGGAGTAGGCTTGAGATTTTCTTGAGATTAGCTTGCTGAACCCGTTGTTTCTCTCCTTTGACTGTCTTTGGGCCTGAATTTCAGTCAGCATGATGAGGATTGGTGTGAGCAACTCGGCCCTTTTCCTTAGGTGCTGTGCAGAGCAGATGTGACTTCTGGTGAATCCTTGTGCAAACATCTCTTTGTAGCTGTCTCAGTAGATAAAAGGCTTTAACATTGTTGGTCTCCACCTTCCCCTCTGGGGCAGTGGCTGTCCCCTCCCTCTTAGGTGGAAAATGTGGAAATCATATCATATTGTAATCATATTCTTTGCAAACAAATGTAGGAAAGGAGACCAACAGAACACTTTCCCAGCCTTGTCTCGTTCATTATACCTAAAAGGCTCCAAGAAAACTGGAGAGATGGGTTTCTGGTAGAATCTTGACTGCAGAGACAGATTGCTTTTATTTTTATTTTTCCAAATTGCGAAAGATTTAAGATAACATTTTTGCCTAAAGAAAATTTAAAATCAATTAAGTTTAGTGAATGTTCAGTAAGTCATCTAAACAGAGGACCTAAGGCATGTAAATACCATTTTATCCTGCAGTTACTAGGAGCGAGTGAATGTCGCCACGGATAGTGTTCTGAGCACAGCTGTGTCTTTGCTGGTCTGTTGGCTGATGTGCCGGGTGTCAAGGGAAGATGTTAAACTCAGTGAGAGGGTGCAGGCGTGGGACTGAGCAAAAAGTGGTTAAAGGTCAGGTGTGCTAGCCACTGAAGGGAGAGGGCTTGTGTTCAGGGACTCCATGCGCTGGGTATTGATGTTCTGGGTTTGGATATATATTTATTGGATATTTATTTATTTATCTGGTATTTTTTTTGAGACAGGGTCTTGCTGCATAACCCTAGCTGGCCTCCTGTCCTCCCTCCTGCAGGGATCTTAAGTACCTAGCCAGAGTCTGGATTCTTGATACCTTTTCTTTCCTTTTGTTTGTTACTTATTTTCCCCAACACCATTGTCTACCACCAGGATATTTTGAGTTGCAGCTAGCTCCATTCTGAGTAGGGCTGGTAAGCCAGCATAAGCAGTCCCTCCAGGGGGCTTGTGGGAGGTCCAGAGTCTTAGGTGCCCTCCTGCATCTGATTTTTCACTTTGGTAGCCCTCAGATGATGTGTAGAAACACTGTAGTCTGATGGCCCTCAGACGATGTGCAGAAACACTGTAGTCTGATGGCCCTCAGACGATGTGCAGAAACACTGTAGTCTGATAACTCTCAGACGATGTGCAGAAACACTGTAGTCTGATGGCCCTCAGACGATGTGCAGAAACACTGTAGTCTGATGGCCCTCAGACGATGTGCAGAAACACTGTAGTCTGAGGAATCCTGTGCCTATAGGTAGGTGGAGACTACAAACTGAGAACACTGAGTTAAAGACTGTGGGCAGGTCAACCAGCAACCTAACAAAACACAAAATTCAAGGAGAAGCCAGGCAGTCTTCACTTAGCCTTAGAGAACAGAAATAGCAAGCAGATTTTAGCTGTGTGCTGACTGCAGATAAGGGGCACTGGCTGTGAGCTCCGCAGGAGCTCTGTGTTCCAGACGCCTGGTTCCTTGGCCATTGAGTTGTGCGATCTTGCCATCTCTGTTGGGTCATCAAACCTTCTTATCTGTGTTTAGTCCCGGTATAGATGGCCCTAACCATTCCATCATGACATCATCTGCTATAGTACCCCTTACATATAAGAGAAACATTTACTTTTTACATGACAGGCATCAGCTTTGTTGCCTAGGAAATCGTTCCCTGCTCCTTTGACACAGTGTGCTGCGATTACCACTGTTGTTAATAGAGTTTATTATTTCATTCATTTTGGGACAGGGTTGTAGATGGAAGTTTCTGTCTTGCCTGGTCCAACAGATGTTCAGTCCCAAAGAAATACACAGGGACTTTTTATTTGTTTGGCCTATTAGCTCAGGCTTTTTACTAACTAGCTCTTAAAACCTAAATTAACCCAGAATTCCTGTCTATATTTTGCCATGTGACTTGGTACCTTTTTTCAGTGAGGCATTCTCATCTTGTTTCCTCTGTGTCTGGCTGGTGACTGGGTCTCTGCCTTTCCTCCTCCCCAAATTCTCCCAGTCTGGTTGCCCTGCCTATACTTCCTGCCTGGCTACTGGCCAATCAGTTTCATTAAACCAATATGAGTGACAAATATTTACAGTATACTTGTGGGTGTGGGGTGTGCTGCCCACGTACTCGTGGGTGTGGGGTGTGCTGCCCACGTACTCGTGGGTGTGGGGTGTACTGCCCACGTACTCGTGGGTGTGGGGTGTACTGCCCATGTACTCGTGGGTGTGGGGTGTACTGCCCATGTACTCGTGGGTGTGGGGTGTGCTGCCCACGTACTCGTGGGTGTGGGGTTTGCTGCCCACGTACTCGTGGGTGTGGGGTGTACTGCCCACGTACTCGTGGGAGTGGGGTGTGCTGCCCACGTACTCGTGGGTGTGGGGTGTGCTGCCCACGTACTCGTGGGTGTGGGGTGTGCTGCCCACGTACTCGTGGGAGTGGGGTGTGCTGCCCACGTACTCGTGGGTGTGGGGTGTGCTGCCCACGTACTCGTGGGTGTGGGGTGTGCTGCCCACGTACTCGTGGGTGTGGGGTGTGCTGCCCACGTACTCGTGGGTGTGGGGTGTGCTGCCCATGTACTCGTGGGTGTGGGGTTTGCTGCCCACGTACTCGTGGGTGTGGAGTATGCTGCCCATGTATTTGTGGGTGTGGGGTGTACTGCCCAGGTACTCATGGGTGTGGGGTAGACCTACCAGGGGCTACACCCTCAATACTGACTCTCCTGCCCACAGAAGCTAACAATACAAGGTTTTTTAAAAATGATCCTTTATTTCATAATTCTTGTGTTCTGTCTCTGATCATAATCTTGCAAAGTGATTTAAAGAATAGAGAGAAGTTTTATGCCTATTGCCTTTGCTGTTCCCATCAGTACCCAGCTCTGTCTTATGGCTCCTTTTGCACACAGAACATCTGCTCTCTCAGCTTAGAAAAGGAGAGTCACATGTTTTCTCTTGCCATTCCAGGGCTGTGGATACTGACACTAAGTCTGGACTTTTGTTTCCCTGTCCTCCACATCGAATGCTTCTCTCACTGGAGCAGACTACTTATGTCTCTTACTGATTTGTACAGTCTTAGTTTTAATTGCTGGAATGAGATGGAAGGGTTTATTTTGGCTCATTTTGGAGGTTTTAGTTTATGGTCACTTGGCTCTGTTGTTGCTGGCCTATGGCAAAGTCCTGTCCTGATTGAGGGCCTCTGGTAGACATAGGTGTGGGAGGCAGGTCTCCAGTGATGTACCTCCTTTTCTCCACTTAGGTCCACTCCCTTGATCCCTTTAACACAGCACCCTTGTTTGTTTGTTTGTTTTTTCTAGACAGAGTTTCTCTGTGTAACAGTTCTGGCTGTTTTGGAACTCCCTCTGTAGACCTGGCTGGCCTTGAACTCACAGAGATTCACCTGCCTGTGCCTCTCAAGTGCTGGTATTAAAGGTGTGGGCCACCATCACCTGTACCAACCAGCACCCTTTTAAAGCTACGAATCCATAGGTGGATTTATTTGTGACGTCAGAGCCCTCAGGACCCAGCTGCCTCCCCTCACTTCTGAACACTGCTGAACTGGGACTGAGCCATCAGCCTAAGGGCGTTAGGTAGCATCCACAGTTCAAACCACAGCATGGAGTGGTGTAGTAGAGGTTTTTGGAGTTCTTTCTTTGCTGTTGTAAGAGGTGAAGTAAACTGTGTTCTTTGGAAACTGAGAGACCAGTGAGCAGTGACTGAGACGTGAACAGAAGACAGGCTGCCGTGTTGGGCTATGCAATGGATGACACATCACTTTCCTTTGGTATCTCTTTTGCTACAATTACAAGCAAAATTACTTTTTCTTGGTAATGCAGCATGGTGTGTGTGTGTGTGTGTGTGTGTGTGTGTGTGTGTGTGTGTGAGAGAGAGAGAGAGAGAGAGAGAGAAAGAGAGAGAGAGAGAGAGAGAGACAGAGAGACAGAGACAGAGAGAGAGACAGAGAGAGAGAGTGTTTTTGTCTATGTGCTGTATGGTAGGAGGATTGTTAGCAGCAGGGCAGGGAGCTGAGGTCTCTCTAGGATCCCACTGTCTCTCTCTGATGGAAACAATTCACTATTGCACGTTTGCCCTTATGCAGGAGTAAAATAGCTATTATTAGAGCAACTTTCACTGTGAGCACCTCAGTCTGTGGGGATGGGAGGATAGAGATGAGGTGATCCGCTGTAAACCACAGAGAAGAGACTAATAGTTCCACGTTTAACACTACCGTCATGATACACATTTGTATGCGCAAGCATTCTCCTTAGATTTTCAGAAGGCAGCATGCATTTATTTTCTGACATCTACTTTAGTTTCTAATGAAATGGGATATCAAATAATGTTTGTTGAGACATTTAAGAAATTTAGATCATATCATCTAAAAAGATTATTGTTATCTAGCACAGTGGAGATACTTTCTCAAGTTAAAGTATCTCTAAAACATAAAAGTTGAGGCTGAGGAGGGCTCAGTTGATAGAACGTGAGGACGCTGGATCCCAACACCCATGTAAAAAGTTGAGCATGGCACTGCATGCCCATAATCCTAGCACAGGGGAGGTGGGCACAGGACAGCAGATCCATGGAGTGTGCTGATCAGCCAGTCTAGGCACTCGGTTAGTGAGAGACCCCTGCCTTCAACAGTAAGATGGATTCCAGTGCTGACCTCTGACCTCCACATGCAAGTGCACACACATGTACACCAATGTGTACACACACACAGCCTTAGCCAAATGTAGTACTCACCTGTAATCCCAGCGTGTGAGAGGTAGAGGCATGAGGGTCCAGAGTTAGAAATAATCATGGCTACAAAGCAAACTCAAGGCCAGCCTGTCTACAAAATCCAATCCAAACCAAACACCCCCTCCCATATTCCAACATCTCCATTCCAGGTGATCTAGGTTCAGTCTTTGTTGCTACACCCAGAGATAAGGAAACAAGCTGAAGGCAGTAAAAAAACGCTTTCCTTAGACAGTTTCCCAGCTGGTAGTTTCCCCATTATAACTGATACCCAGTTCCCCCAGGCGTTTTCTCCCCTCTCTTCTGCTGCTGCAGCACCCCCCTCCCCCCACAAAAGGTGACTAGGGTGCAGTTCTTCTTAGGAGCTCTGTCTGGCCATGCCGGTCTTCCCAGGGACCTCAATGTCCAGAGCGGTTGTCTTGGGAATTCCCTCTTCATGCTTGAGTATTTCGCTGTCCCTTCTCTATTCCTCTGTTCTTATCTAGTTTGTCCATAAGGCCTCTGCCCCGTGTGACAAGCCCTACGTCTCCTGACGTCCTTGGGAAATCACAGTTTTACTGTGAGAAGTAATTACAGGGTTCTTCTGGACGTAAGTGCCCACTGGAGGTGTCTTTCTCTTCTAATGTCTTTTCTTACTGCCAGCGGAAAGCTGACTGGAGTTTGGAAGTTAATACTGTTTTTAACTGTACACTCAAACAGCCTTTTCTCATGTTCATTGATCTTTTTTGTAGCTAATAGACTGTTTCCCACATCGTAGATATTTAAATATTTGAAGAAAAGTTTTTTCCCTCATAAACCACCCCAACCTTTGTTCTAATAATTGCTGGTTGTTATATTGATGGAGCATTTATTTTTTTTCCACCATTGTTTGGCGAATTTTTTTGGTTGAACTTGAATATGCTGATTCTTCTTAAAACATATGGTATCTATTTAAAGATCTAAGCACTTACTTCATTTTATAAAGAAGCACTACAGGACTAAAGTTTTTAGGTAAAATAACACCTTATGCCTCTTCTGTTCCAAGTAAATCTGTTAATTTTTTTCTTTGTTGTCTTCTTCTAAATTACTTCTGGTCTGTCTGGGGCAAATGCAAGGTTGTCGTTGACTCTGGCCCACTTACTCGATTGTTAGACATTTTCATGATATCTCTAAAAACAGTAGCAGCTCATTAATATTTCTTTTTGAAAACCTGTTTTCAATGTTATGGCTTATTTACTTGCGCTTTTGTCTTGCTTTTTCTTTTTGATTTTCTTTATTTTGATTCTTTATTTTATATTACAGACAAACAGTAACTTTCTCCTTTTATCTTCCCTTCTCTGATTTATGATAAATTTAGTTTCTTTGGCCTGACGTTTGCTTCAATAGGCAATCTTCCTTCAAGTACCTCCCTGATTGATGTGTAATCTTTGATATCTCCCATTAGCCTCCAGGATCACTAAGTTCAAGGCCCCCTTGGAACCTAAGGAGCCCTGCCGAGGAGCTGAAGGCCTTCAGAGTCCTTGGGGTGATTGACAAGGTAATTCTTCAGTGTCTCTTCAAGAGTTCAGTCATAAATCGGCTGCATGCTGACTTTCTGTCTTTGAAGCTTTGGATCTTAAGGATATGAAACAAAAGGAAAATGACTCAAATGCATCTGCACTTTAAAATGCCCGAGCAGCAGGGGAGCTTTGCTTCAGCATTCACGTAAGGTCATGCAGAGTACACTGTGCCAAGGAGAAGGTGTGCATTTGCTGGCGTTCTGTTGAGTAAGGGGTTTTAATTTCCGAAGCGTGGTGGTAGAATAGTGCGCTTTGTGCCGTTAGTTTTGTGAATTTGCAGCTGTTAAACATTAATCAGTACAGTATCCTAATGGTCAGAAGGAAGCATAGACTTCCTGGTGGCTGTCGTTTGTGAGCGCCACTGTGTGCCCACCCCCATAGTAGGAATTTCCATAAAGTGGTTTATGGAATCCCTCTTACAACCCCATTATCTGCATCTGGATAGGAACGTGATGCAAAGACATGGAGGAACTTGCCCAGAAATCCCCTAGCCAACTTGGAGGAACTTGGTTGATTCCAGAAACTGCTTTCCCAGTATATTGAGCCCCTTCATACACACACACACACACACACACGCACGCACGCACGCACGCACACACACACACACACACACACAGGCACGCATGCACGTATGCACACATGTGCATACAAAGCTTGGTGACATATCAATATTGCCAAATGTTTATCAACACTAAGCCTGCCAATTTTCATGCTTTGGAAATACTAGATTATTCTGTCATTATAACTTTAAGGAAAATGCCACTTAATGTTAACATAAATGAGTCTTGACCTCTTGACCACTCGACATTGTTCCAAAAACACCTTAGTGTTGTTCGTTTTGGGTCACCCAATGCCACTTGTCTTCTGAAGCGTTCTTGTGAGTCCATGGTACCTTTGAGCAATCCACAGTGCAGCTCGAGGAGCTTGGGCAAGCGCTCACAGTTTGAAGTGTCCCAGAAAGAACATCGAGTCAGAACTTTCATAAAGTAAACATCATTGTCCCAGATAAACCAGTGCCAATGAATCTGAGCTTAAAGAGCTCTATGCAGTAGGACTTTTTGTGTTGTTACAGAGCCTGTGATACTCTGTGGCTGTTTCTGTGGCCTTTGCATCATGGAGAACATTCTGTTTGAGAGTAGACTGAATCAGACAGTAATTTAGTAGATTCAGGTGTTGTGGTTTGGTGCAACATGCCATCTTCCTGTGCTGTCTCAATGCCTCTTAGAGTTGTATCTTATGACTGTGGCGAGCCTCAAGTCACACTAAGTTCTGGTAATTGCCAGGAGCCCCATAGATGAAAGGAAGCGGACCGTTGGCAGTGGAGGAATCCCTTTGCTGTAGTTGAGGCAAGGCCTTCGCTGTCTGTCTCAGTCAGCCAGTGTCTCTCAGATGCCGTTTTCTAAGTGGTGAGAAGGAGCTCTGTGTCTGGGGACCAGTCAGCTTTGCAGGCAGTTGTAGCTCACAACAGCATCTCTGCTGCTAAAATATGAGCAGGTGGATTTTCTGTTGTACTAAGGAATACCTTAAATACGTGTCTTAGAAACTTGGGGTTTGGGAGAAAGATGTTGAATAAATTCAGATCTAGGAAACACCTACAAGGTATGACAGTGCTGGTCGGGACATCAGTTTCTCTAATTCTGTTTCATTTTTGTGTTTGCTTTTTGTGAATTATCTTGTGTTGTTTATTAACTTAGCAAGTTCAGTTTTGTATTGAACTTCATTAGGAAATAAATTTCATTAACCTCCATCTAGAAAGTAAATGAAGTATTTTTATTATTGCCGACAGTGTGGACTTCACAAGGTCAGTGTCGTGCTGTTTCATTTCTTACCACGTTCTTTGTGCCTAGAATCATGCCCAGCACACCCAGCATGTTGTGCAGCTGTTGAATGAGTGAATTGAAAAGAATTTAAAATACATCGTAGAGCGACACCTACTGGTGTAATGTGGGGCTGCTCCCTAGAACCTTTCCACAGTGAGTGTCCACTGAGAGGGACGGACAGTCATTCAGTGGCTGTTTGCTGCCTTAGTGTTCAGACAGAAGGAAGTAGTCATCTAGTGATCTTCTGTTTCTTAGTTGGGATCATAAAATCCTTTATGCAACAAGGAATTGAAGCACCAAGACTCTTAGAGCATAGATAAACAGGCCTCCATTCTGTTGCAGAAATGGTCAGGCTGAGGAAGGCCTTCAGAGTTCTATTAAAGGAAGGCCAGATGTGGAGAGAGGGCATTTTCACCTGACCAAATCATGTGTAGACTTCAGGTCTCTGAGGACTGAATCTCTGTCATGCTTATTTAAACCTCCTCGTCCTCCTCCTCCTCTTCATCCTCCTCCTTGTCCTCCTCATCCTCCTCCCCCTTCTCCTCCTTGTCTTCTTCCTCTTCCTCCTCCTCGTTGTCCTTGTTCTCCTCCTCCTCCTCCCCTCCTCCTCCTCCCCTCCTCCTCCTTCCCTCCTCCTCCTCCCCTTCTCCTTCTCTAGTCCTCCTCTTACTCCTTCTTCTCCTCCTCTACCTTCTTCTTCCTCCCCCTCCCCCTCCCCCCTCCCCTCCCCTCCCCTCCCCTCCTCCCCCTCCCCCTCCCCCTCCCCCTCCCCCTCCCCCTCCCCCTCCCCCTCCCCCTCCCCCTCCCCCTCCTTCTTCTTCTTCTTCTTCTTCTTCTTCTTCTTCTTCTTCTTCTTCTTCTTCTTCTTCTTCTTCACAGGGTTTCTTTGTGTAGCCCTGGCTGTCCTGGAACTTGCTCTGTAGACCAGGATATCTTGGAACCAGGCAGTCTGCTCTGCCTCCTGAGTGCTGGGATTAAATGTGTGCACCACCAGTGCCCAGATAGAAATACCTTTCAGGGACTGGTGTCTTAACCAAAGATGGACTAGATCTGAGACCTTATGAGCTTCTTGTCAGTTGAGGTATCCAGGCAACGGTGGGTGTGTCAGTGGAGATATGCTGTGGTCGGAGCCAAGCATTTAGTGGACTTCGTACTAGAGAGCTTTGAAGATTTCCTTCTGCTCCCAGATGCGCTTATAGATGTTTTTCTTGTGTGGTGGCAGAAGAAAAACGAGAGAACTGGTGGGTGCCAAGGGTGGGCTCCCTTCATCTCTGTGTAGGTGCCGCGCCTTGTGCTGTAAGCGTGGGAGGTGTAAGCATGCTCTGGGTGTCCCAGCGCACAGCGCACATACAGTTCACTGGAGGTCTGGCTTGGCTGTTTGGCTGAGATCAAGAGCTGAGAGTTTCTGGAGAAGTTCATTGCTGCACGGCTTGCCTGCAGGGTCATGGCCTCATCAGCAGTTAAGACCTTTGTCAAATTCCTGACCTTGCAGTCGTGTGGATGCTGTATAGGTTCTCCTCTTAGACGGTAGGTGAAGAGTAAACAGGACACTTCGAGATGTATCGCAACTTCCTGTGAGCTAAAAAAAATTCAAAACCAAAAAAAGCTAGAATCAATGGAATTGAAAACAAGAGATCAATAAGAAAATTAACCAAACTAAAGGCCAGTTCTCCGACCGTCAGTGAGATTCCTGGGCCTGTAGAGAGGATAATTAAGGAAGAAATAGCTCGGTGTGAGAAGCCAGGGAGGCTCAGCACTCCACCTTGTGCAGCAGAAAGCTCAGATATGATGAATTTAGTCACTGTACGATTTTACCACTACCTTCCTAAGAGACAAAGCTATTAACTCGCAGAGAAGGAACAGACCATCCGGGGAAGTGCACATCTGTCTGCTAAGGAGATTGAGTCCCTACTTACTAACCACCCAAATAACAAGCAGCAGGCCCAACTGGAGCGGAATTCAGTATAACGTTTACAGAATTCATTGAGACAGTCCTCTATAAAACCTTTCAAATATATAAAAGGGCACTAGTGGTGTGCAGATTGGGAAGGAAGGTTCCTGTGTAATCTGAAAGAACTGACAAACTCTTAGGACTAATGGTTGCATCAAGGCTGGAGGACACAAACCTAATACAACATAATCAGTTGCTTTCTCCTATGTGATCAACTAGAATCTGAAATAAAATATAGTCTCAAGTGGTGAGGACATAACTCAATGGTAGAGGGCTTGTCCAGTAGGCACAAGGCCCTGGGTTTGATCACCAAGCCTCAGCCAGATGTGGTGGTGCATACCTGTGATTTCAACACCTAGGATTCTGAGTTTGAGGATAGCTTGTGTTACATAATGAGATCCTTTTTGAGCCCACCCTCCCTCTAACCTCCAAACATTCACTAGAATTTCCATTAGTGCCCCAAATTAAATTCTGATGTATAGATTTAAGAAAATATGCACACTATCTATATAAGGAAGACTATTTAATCGTGATGAAAAAAAATCAAAGAATTGAAAAATTGAGAGTCTCAGGCATGGGTAAGAAGACCCTTGTCAAGAGCAAGTCAGTTCTTTTCAGCCTGAACTGTGGATTCAGTGTAGTCTGATTCAAAATCTCAACAGGTAATTTTATGGACATAAGTGATCTGATTCCAGAATTTATATGAAGGGAAAAAAGACCCAAAATAGCCAGAGCAATATTGAAAGAGAAAGGTAGAATTTAGGAACGACCCTTTCTGAGTTCCAGACTTAGGAAGTCTAGCCGTCAAGATGGTTACAAGCTGGACTTTGTTTTTTTTTTTTATTTAAATTTATTTATTTATTAAGGATTTCTGCCTTGTCCCCGCAACCGCTTCCCATTTCCCTCCCCCTCCCCCGATCAAGTCCCCCTCCCTCATCTGCTCGAAGAACAATCAGGGTTCCCTGACCTATGGGAAGCCCAAGGACTGCCCACCTCTATCCAGGTCTCGTAAGGTGAGCATCCAAACTGCCTAGGCTCCCACAAAGCCAGTACGTGCAGTAGGATAAAAAACTCACTGCAATTGTTCTTGAATTCTCAGTATTCCTCATTGACCGCTATGTTCCAAGCTGGACTTTGTAACTGTGAAAGATGCTATGATGGGATGTCAGACATGCCTAATAGACTGAGAAAATACTTCAAAAGATGG